GAGTTAGTGAACACGAGTACTAACCGCATGCCTATGACAGTTGCCTCGCCTATGTTAAATGGGCTGGTGCAGGAGCGTTTCCTCGAAAACGACGGCTGTGGTGTATACTTTGAGCTATCTAGAGATAGCTAGGTAGATCTGCATTTTCATGACAGACGAAACTTGCTCGACGATGGTCGTAAATCCTCTTACGATGTACTCTTGAAGTTTAATACATTCAACGCGCATATTACACAAATTTCGTGTATCTTGTAGTAACAGTAATGCAAGCGAACGTTTTTCGCAAATCCGTCCAACCTCCTTGAACCATGACCTGAACAATCGCACCAATCAGCCAAAACTTTAAGCTTTAATAACATGAAATTATCAACTATTGTAATTATCAAAATATAGAAACATTCAGTAAAGCTCTTTAGTTTCAGCCATATTTCGGTTTCTCTCGACAAACCCAGTTGTTGTTGTTTGTCCATTTCATAACCTGTTTCCTGCGCACCTTCGCCATGTACGGAGTGAAAAACCGAACAAATACTTCTTTCCTTACGTAACTGATAAGCGAACCCTGAAACAACTAGCACTTTACAGTCGACAGAAATGCATGTGACTACGTGTACTACTGAAATTTTGACATTTCGCCGCACCAGCAAACAGTGCTTAATAATAATCGTCATTTCTAGCGGTCACACCATAAATCTGGGCTACATTGTTACAACTCAAGTTGTTAGTCTTAGATAAGGCCGAGATACATATATATAAAGTAGCTACTTTGCTGGAAAGGAAACACTAATGACAACATTAGCTCATCTCATACAACTCACGATGTCACTCATCCGATGCTACCACCTCATGCGAGAAGTACGATATTGCTCAAAATGTTTCAGCATAATCCAGATCTAAATTACTGAATTTCTTCGTCGTCATTCAATTTTGGAACACCAGATGAATGATACTGGCCTAACTATTTAATTCAAAGAAATCTGAACCGTGTAAACAGAGCCTGCATTGAACTTGCCTTTCCAACTGTACAGCTCCGCACAACATGCTAGAAAAAGACGAAGGTAAAATAACCGAAGTGACTGTGGATGAAAGCCTTGGCTGGGAACAACATGACTGCAATGGTAGGCATAGTACAGCGGGCGGTTTTGGTAATGTGCAGACTATGAGTCTGTGCGTTGTTTTACAAGCGCTGAAAAACTTAACAAAACCCCACATTCCACTGTTTTTCATTTTTGTTGTACCGGTCTACGGAGTCTATGCAGTCGATGGAAAAAACATATGGATCGCACCCGGAGCTTTTGAAACTACTTGACCGACTCTGTAACTGCGGCGCTGACGAGTTTTGGCGATAAGGACAAGAGTAATAGTTATTGTGAGAAGTTCTACTCTAACCAATGTTTCAAACAGTGGCTTTGAAATCAGCGAAGAGCAAGATCCGACTTGTTCCATGCAGGTGCAGAGAGAAACCTACCAAAGATCAACCGTCCGATATCTGATCGATAACAAAAAAGAAAAACAGTCACTTTGAGCAGGACTTTGGTCAGCCTGATATAGATCCACTTTTTCACTGCTTCTTTTGCTCACGTTCACTATATGGAGATTTTGGCAAGCTGCTGTGTGCCTTGGATAAATTTTGATGACTGACTGACTAGTTGACTAACGGACAATAAACCTACCCTTTTC